ATAGGAAATAAACACATAGATATTTCCCAGCTGTGGATTTGGAATCACAAATCGGATTTTTTTTCTCCAAGTTGCTTTCTTGGAATTTTCTGTGGAGACTTGTTCAGAGGGCAAGGAGTATAGTTCTGGGAAGGAAAAGAAAAAGATTGTGAGAAATGAAAGAAAGCGTGGAAGATTCTTCTGTTAAAAAACGTTTTTTACAAGAGATAGGAACAGAAAGCTACTAGTGTGAAACAAGAGCAATACTTGCAAAAATTAACTCAACCTAACTGATAAAGCAGAGCCTCTGCATTCTCTCAGAATGAATTTCTTAGGCTTTATCATAATTTCATCTTTTTTTTTGGTTTCGTACTAAAGTCTTAATTTTTTAAATTAGAATTATTTTGGTTCCCTGTTTGAGCGCCTGTGTTTTATTTCTAGATGCAACGTGGTCATCCTTTATTATGTGATTGGGAAGCAAAAAATGGTCAAATTCAGTATAACATTTAGACAACTACTTTATAGTCTTTGTAATTTTTTTGTCTTAAGATCCAGTAAGTGTTATATTACTGGGAGAGTAAAGGCTTGCTTCCTAAAAGAGCAGTGTGCTGAGAAACCTTGTGCATTATGCATCCTGAGACCCTTCCAGGTTCAACAGTTCACACCTCAGGTGGAGAATATTCCTTTTGTATGGAATAGCAAGCCATGAGTCTGCTATTGCTGAAAAGTTTGGACAGAGGTAGCAGTTCAGGCTGTCTGGTTTTATTGTATCAGTCATTCTTGTTAATGGTTTTGTCTATGTTCTGTTTTAGTGTAGTTTTCCAAAGTTGCACTACTTTTTCAGAAAGACTTTATAAGTTTAAGTTGATGGTGTAGCAGATAAATGTTTGAATTTGAAATTGTTGTGAAATGGAGCACTGAACAGTACATCTGGGAACATACTACACTCTGGTTTGGCATAATTTATTTATGCAGAGCACATTTAATGTTTTGAAGATTGTAGAGAAGTAACTTGGTTCTTAGAAGTAGAGTATCTGTGGTGTCAGCTTATTTGTTCTTTCACAGTAATTATTTTGGCAGACAGATAAATTGACAGCACTCTACCAGGCTTTGTTGTGTAATAAATAAAAGTTTATTAACTAAACCCCAACAACCCATTCGACAACATAGGTGTTGTCATATGAGTTGTTGGTGTTTAGTTAATAAACTTTTGGGTTCTTCTTATGCAAAGGAACATTGCAGCTGTAAATAAACAGATTTGATTTACTCTTGCTGCAATTTTACTTCTCTTGTCTATGGTTCCATTATTGTTACTGCCTAATAAGATCAAAGCATCTAGTCCTATGTATGTGATTTAAATCAGGCATGGGCACATGATGAAATTATTATGGATGCAGCCAGACCTAGTTTATGATGTAATACTGCCGGTGGGGTGGGTGGATGTGCTATAAAGCTTAGCATAGTGCTTAGGTAGGACTGTAAAATCTGCTCAGGCTCATGGAAATATTGCTTCCATGTTTTTTATCAGACTTAGAATTCAATGAAATTCCAAAGATTTGAATAATAAAACTGTTGTGGACTTCAGGGTGTCAAAGAAACAAACCCTTCCTGCAGCAACAGGTGCTTTAATAGAGAGCTTCTCTTGTTTGAATCCTTTCTGTGACACAAACAGATTGCGCCATTCTATATTTGCACGTCTCCTGTAATTCTGGACTTGCACTGCCATAATATACTACGTTTTACAGTACTCAAAATTCAGAATAAAACCATGTCAAACTCCTTTATGGTGTTTGTATTATCTTGTGCTTTTCTATGCAGGTAATTACATTTTAATCATTAAATGAAGTGTGACACTTCATATTGGCTAGAATGACTGCTATGCATTTTTAATGGTTTCTCTAAGTGTCATTAAGTGATAATTTGAAAAAATAAACAAACAGCCAGCAGTTTACACAACTGGTTTTTAATGAAGCCTGTTCTTAATTTGCTTAAAGGATCAACAAAATTTGTGGTATGAAATGTAGCAACAGATTGAGTGGGTTTTTTTAATCTAAAACATTTGAATGTTTTATGGATATTTTTTAATGTCCATTCTAAATACATACATTCCTATCAAGAGTAAAATAGCACATCTTTTTTGATATTGAGAAGTGGATACAGTGTTGATTACCAATATTGTTTAGTGGCTTTTCTGTCCTGTGATGAAACATTTTGACTTACGTGCCTTCTGCTCAGCATGCTGAAAAGTCTGGTTTTCGGTGATAAAGCACTAAGAAAAATATCTGTAACCTGATTTCCTCTTGGTATTCCTGAATCCTTGCTGACCTGTGGCAAACCTGTGGGTGTTTTACCTCCTGTCTTCCCATTTTGGGTCTGGGCATGGCAAGGCAGATTTGGAGTTGCAGTGGCCAATCACTTCCTAAACACAATGCTAGAATGAGGGCAGATATGCCTAAGGTTTCATCCAAGTGATCATAAGAGGGAAGTTTAATTTTTTGTGAGGAATTAATTACTCTGCCGACTGGAGAAATGTGTGGAGGTATTTTATTGGTATTCTCTCCCCTGCTTCAAATATTATGTAATATTTGCAGTTTGGCCAAACTAGAATATTGACACAGAAGATGACTGAATTCATGCCGTGGGAACAGAATAAAAATAGCAAATAATGGGTATTTTTGGTTTGTCAGGTGAGCAGAAAAGATAGTTTGGTAGAAAAAGCATGCAGTTAGTCTCTTTATCCACAGTGTTCATGTTTTTTCACCAAAATATTTCTTCTGAAGTAAAATGCTATGCTCAATTTTATTTTTTTTTTGTTGTTTTCAAGTGAAATTTAGTTTTTAAACAAGTGTACTAGTTTGATGTAAATCAAATAATAATGTAATTAAATTATGCCAATAAAAGTAAGTTCTTCAAAATTTTTAATTTCATGGTATTGCATACCATGGACCATATTTTGAAGCTAAAAGGAATGAAAGGATTCAAAAATGAACAGTGAATTCTGCAGGGGTATTACTTGAAGAATTACTCAAGTTTTTTCTTGGATTAACTGCTTGCTTTTTGAAGTCCTTGTTTAGGAATATTTTATTTTAAAAGAGCCTGGCATGTACTTAAGTTCCATACATTTTCATGTCTGAATGCTCAGAAGCAGTTTGCAGTGCATAATATGTGTACACAAATATTTTTCATGTGGATTCATTTATGTCCTTCATTTTTTTTGTGGTACAATCATTAAATACCTGGGACAAAATCACAAATACCAGATTGCTGCACCTGTTTTATCATCTTTCCATTGTAGGTATTCATGCTGCTTTAATATGCCTGTGCAGCAAGCACCCATAGCAAATAAATTTGTGCTTGAGTGTTTTATGTTTTTATTAAATATTCATTAGATGAGATGCAGGCTGCTGCTTTGAGTGCATTGAAACCCCAGAAAATGCATTGTTTGTGAATCCTTTATGCAGCATGAGGCAAAGTGTTCACTACTGAAACGTGTAAGGGTCCAGTATGTGTTGCTACACAGCTGAATCTTGCTTTGGGCTGTAAAGAGATCATAATTAATGCAGAGTCATTTTGGGTTTCTTACATTGTATTCTAGTATGATTTGGCTAATGCAAAAAAAAAAAAAAAACCCTAACAATTCCCAGAAAAAAAAAAAAACAAAACAAAACCAAAAAAAAACAAACAAAAAACCACCAAGAATTCTTCATCAAATCCAAGAGAAAGCACTTCAAGTAAACAAAGACTAATAACTTCTAATGTTCTTATTGCAAAGCAAAGTAAAAGCAAAATGCAATCATTTTCTGGTGCCTTATCTGATGTATTTTGCGGGAGTCTCTGAATTTACTCTGTTATCTAGGGAGAAGCGTTTTGAACATCCAAGATCAAAGTTAGTGTATAGGCTACAACAGAAGACAAATACACCCAAGGACCTCTCAAAAAAAACCTGTGTCCTCACACCTGTTTTTTGCGTGCTCTGTCATTCACTGGTCTCTTATATTCACACTGTTATTCCCTTGATCTATATATTTATGCATCTGCTTTGGGTTTTGTTGTGATGGTATCACACTTGTGTGCAGCTCTGTACTAGAGATTTTTATTCCCAAGAAGGATGAAGTTTGATATCCTCAGGTTTTCACACCTTCATTCTTATACTTCATAAAACCTACAGGTTTTCATTGGGATTTTACTAATTTATTATTAACAAAACAGAAAATTTTTGCCTTTTTGTAGGTCTAACTCCATACACCTCTAAACAGATATTTTTGTCTTTTTTATAGCTTTAAACTCTTTACACCTCTAATGTAAGGTCCGTGTACGTGTTAGTGTATAAGATTTTAGGAGAAATGTAATCTCCATATATGTCATACTTTTCTGAGATTGAAAGCTCAGCTATTTGTGTTTCACCTTCAGGATAAACTGAGTAAAATAACCTGTATGGCACCTACTAGATAGTAAAAGTACATCCCAGAAAAAAAAACCAAAACTGTTCATTTACTGATTCATTTTAACTGGCTGTCTGGTGCAGTGCTGTATAAAGCTTTAAGGTAGATTCCTAAATGAATGCTTTGTAGCTTTAGTTTATTCAAGACCTTAGGCAGAGCTACTGGAAGTATCTAGGTTACTGATTCTTTTTGAGGTGTCATAATTTTAGTGAAAGTTGGGAAGGAAAATATCTGTGTTTTGACTAGAATAATGCTTTGGTCTGAACACCTGAATGTTATATATTTAGGTGTGATTCAGATCAGATTGCTTAAATAGCATTAATACAATTGCTGGTGCAGTTTATTTTCCAAGATTAACCATATACATGAAAATTCTGTTTGAAAGTAGTTTAAAAGTACGTTCGCAGTAAATCTCATTTATCTCCTTCCTTCATGGATTTTAAGTGTTTTAAATGAATTATTTTTTGATACAGTGCTTACACTAATACTGTGAAATTAGCAACGAAAATAATTCCTGCAAGCTGCCTTTAATTAAGTGCCAGCGATTTATTTGTTTGTTTCTCTCCTTTTGTTTGCCAG